GTGGTACATTGTAGATACGGTAAAGAATAGGCATGTATGCACCACATCGCTCACTCACAGCCATCAGTTGTAGATGGATTCAGGTAATATAAGACGGGCTGAACACACAGACAGGTTTGTTTTGAAGTCAAACATTCTAGCAACCATGTCTGCTGCGATCTCACGGTGTCACCTTGTCAGTTACCTTGTTGTGTGTCAAACCTCAAAGTTTAATGGAGCTCTTTTTGCATTTGTACAGTTTATTTATCTTTTATTTACATTTACTCAACTTTGTCCTATTCACTGAAAGCAACGATTCATATTCTATGGCACAAATAAGGATTATAAGTTCACACTTAAATGTTATGAATTATCAGCCATTAAAGTAAAAATGTCAGGCAACAAAGCCAGTCTCCTGTTTAAAAGAGTGAAACAGTGAGCAAGTTCTTTTTACTACAATCCATTAATATCTGATCAGTTAGATTATTATTATATAATGATGAAGGCGTCTTTTTATACATCTTAAGGCCACTTCAACCATCCCCTGCCCTCTTTCTTTGTCTCACTCGATGCTTAAAATTAATCAGATACACATGAACTGTAGTGATTAGGCAGTGTGGTGGATGCAGGAATCAAACCTGAAACTGTTACTGTAAATCCGGCTTTATACTCCAGAACCCCCCACACCTGGGAGGTGAAATCCTTGAATTGTGGCTCTGAATTATTTTGTCACTGTGCATGTGTTCATGTGAATGTCTCAGATTTTAAATGGTTACGGCTCCCACTATCCACACTGCGCTTCCTCCTTGCTACATGCCAGTTGCTTTGACTGCATGGTCCATGGAGAAGGTATGGGTGTGTGTTGAGGATATACTAAGGGCACATGGGTGTTTGTGTCATGGGGCTTGGCATAGGGGCCAATCACTAATGAGCAGATCTATGCTTAAGGCTTCCATATGAGTTGCCACAATTAGGTAACTGCTCGGTGATTGGGAAAAGCACAGATCATGGTGATTTGTTAATGAGGTGAACTGAGACACGGAGAACTACATAGCCTCTTGAAGCTTTCTGTGTAACACTGGTAGTTCTGATGCAACTGAGAGCTGCTGTAGCTGCACCTATTAATTGTGAACAACTTATTTTTTTCTACTCTGACAGTAATGACATACCCAGGGTGTGTCAGCAGGATATCTTTATCTCATTTTTAATCTGCTGAAGTCTGCTAAAAAGGTTGACTGACAGGCAGTTTATCCTGTAGTTTCTGGTTGGCTCATTAATAGGTGTTTCTCAGAATGCTTTAATGGTTTAGTGTTTACTGTCACCTCACAGCAAGGAGTTGTTCCAGTTTGTTTTTGGTTAGTTAAAAAATTGACATTTTGGGAAATACACTTACAGGGTTCTTGCTGACAGTTAGATGAAAGCATAGATCCAGTTCTCATATCTATGCATGAAATATGAAGCTAGAGCAGGGAAGACACTTTGCACAGTTTAGCAGAAAGACTGTAAGCAGGGAGAAGCAGTTAGCAAAGTCTACAGGTCAAAAGCATGTCTACCAGCACCTTGAAAGCTTAGAAATTACACTTGTTTGTTTAATCATTGTTTAATCAGACATCAAGCATTGATGTCTGGAAGGAACAGTCTGTTCACACTGTACCCACATTTAGTTGTACAAATAAGTTGTTTGTGCAGTTGTTTGGTTAGTTAAAAAATTGACATTTTGGGAAATATTTCTGAATACTCCAGTAATACCATTATACCACAAGTAAAATTATTACAGTGTTACGGCTGGTACTGAGCAGTGAGTCAGGCACAATGATTCACATGACAGTAGCCTACAGTGTATACAGAGTGCATGGTGATAAAACAAAGCACACAAAGGTCCAAAATCACCAGATCTATTGTTAGTCCCTCATTTGCTGCTCCTTTTTGTGTTGTATATGGTATCAGCTGCTTGACTGTTGACATGATGATCAGCTCAAAATGTTATCAGTTGTAAAAAAAAAAAAAATTGGTACCGCTGCGTCCAGTGCAAAATAACCACCCCTGTTCTCCTGACAGGTACTTCCTATGGAAACTAGTGACAGTGGTGCTGATGCAGACAGCATGGCAGGACTCCTTCACCTGGCCTCTGGTGGTCTACCTTATCTCCTGCTGCATTTATCCGCTGGCGTCAAGCTGTGCTCACACCTTCAGCACCATGTCAGTGCGGGCACGCCACATCTGCTTCTTTTTTGACTATGGTGCCCTGAGTTTCTACAGCCTGGGTAGGTGGATGTGGTCCACTAGAACCCTTTGTACTAAATGTTACCCCCCATGTGCACACTGATGTTACTGAACTGGTCTTATTAACTTTAAATCTTAGTATCAGTAACTCAACTAGATATTGTATCTAAAAAGCTGCATGAAGGATGAAACTCTATCTTAAAAAGGCAGGAGTGTCTTAAAATGAATTGATCTGCTCAGTGGTATTGTATTGGATGGCATTATTTTGACAGTTGTCTCCTTTGTGAAAGTAAATGGTTCTGGTCAAAATATCATAAACGAATCCTTCAGACCAGCATGCCTCGATTTCTGATATAAAACTTAAGCCAATCAGCCATAACATTATGACCACCTGCCTAACACCGTGTACACAGGAGCCAGCGTGGCGGGGTTGGTTGGCGCTCGTGTCACTCTGTAGCTCACTGTGCATCTTCTGTGAATTTGTTTGCTTCCATAACTCTACTGTCAGGAAGAGCATGAATGTGAAAACTGTGCTTGTGAGGACAAGTTAGAGAGAATTTTAAAGACACATTCAACAGCCTCCCCACTCTATCAGCGCTACAGCTGCTGAACGTTTCTCTTCATAGAGACCATTGTACACTACGTATTTCTCATCTTCACCCATTTTAACAAAGATTAAACAAAATCTTTAGAAAAGGATGAATGAAATGTAAAAGCTTATTTTACAGTAGGTCGACCTCACTATCAGTGAGCCTTGGGCGTCCATGACCCTGTCTCTGGTTCACTGTCTGTCCATCCTTAGACACTGTTGGTAGGTACTAACCACTGCAGACTGGGAACACCCAAAAAGGCCCACAGTTTGGGAGATGCCCTGACCCAGTCATCAGCATTCACAGTTTGGCCCTTGTCAAAGTCAGTCAGGTCCTTACACTTGCCTGTTTTTTCTGCTTCTAACACGTCAGCTTCAAGAACTGAATGTTCACTTGCTGCCTAATATACCCCACACACTGACAGGCGCCACTGTAACAAGTCAATCAGTGTTATTCAATTCATCTGTCAGTGGTCATAATGTTACGGAAGAGTACTGAAAGTTAACTGCTGTACTGGTGATGTGTCCTGCTGCAGGGTCAGCAATCACCTATTCGGCTTATGTTTTCCCGGACAAGTGGGTGAACAGCTTCTTCTACCAGTATTACATCCCTATCGCTGTGCTCAACACTGCCATCTCCACTGGCCTGGCCTGCTACTCCAGGTATGGTGGGAAAACAAAAAGTATACGGCTACCACCAACACTGTACCTAACTTGGCATTATGGTTTTCTTATGCAACAGAAAACAGAGCAACATGTTTTGCAGGTTGTCATACTAATCATTTCAGTGCTGAACATCTGTTGTGATGTTTTATGTATGATAGCATACTAACATTATCTTTTCCCTTCTTTCAAGTCACAGTGCTAAGTATTTGTTTTTTAAAACCCCTAACACAGAACTATTCCACCTTTTGCATTTACAGCACTGATCACATTGGTGGTACTGTTATCTTCATGCACTCTATAAATGTTGGCTAATTATTGTTCTTTCACTCACTTCTCCCCACTGCTAAGGCTTGGCTTACCATTTCTGCAGTATAATCATGACATCGTAAAGAGGTAAAGACAATGCATTTGCTAAAATCTACTCCTCCTATCCATCTAAAATTATATTTGTTGTAAATTAAATCAAGTGATGATAATATATAAATGCCATTCTGTCCTTTTAAAAATGTGTGAATTACTAACATGACTTCTGACAGACATTATCTTACACACAGTGTTGTCTGGGATCTGGTAGAATTGAGCAACACACAATTTAATACAATGGGTGTTACCCAACTGTGACTATAGTGATTAACTCTAAACAGTGATTAACTCTAAGTGTAGTTTCAGTTGAGCAGGTTAGATTACCTGAAAAAACAAATGGCAAAACATGTTATGCAGCCATCTAAGTCAGTGACTTTCAAGAAAATCAAGGTGATGTTCTGATATTCACTAATATACGGATAATAACTTTCAAAGTATAAACGTTATGTGAAGCATATCATTTATGCACCACTCAGAAAATACAGTATGTAATGTTATCACTTAGAATTAAACAACTCTTGTATCTGTCACAAATTCATTCATTGATTTATCTCAAGATTTCTGAGGGAAAGTTTTATAAATAAAGGTATTGTTTGTAATTATTTTAAAATAACATCCTTTCTATTTATATTTCAGATTCCCTGAGTGTCAGAGTCCAAGGTTCCGTAAAATTGTCCGAGTTACTGCTTTCGCCTACCCCTACCTGTTTGACAACATTCCTGTGTTCTACAGGGTAGGGTCACGTCAATGCGCATCACACTTGCGTGTCTTCTAAAACCAATTTAATCTAAAAGGGCACAGTAACTGGTAAATGGTTAGCTCACAGGGCCCTTTATTTGCATGTTTTCTACAACATTTTAAAACACAAATCTATAATTTGAATTACTTTTTTGCTAAACACTCACTGTAGGAGCTTCACAACAAAATCCCATGTATTTCAGGGGAGATCTCTTGATGCCCCATGTTCACACTTTAATATGAATGTATTGTAACGTAGGCCTGCTTGAAGAAGGAGTCAGAAATAGAAGTCGCTTTTTCTGCACTCTCCCAAAGCAGAGGAGGCTGAAGCTGCTCTTTTATTAGCACACACACGCACACACACAGACATCTGCACACAGCAACCAGAACACCAAACAATCCCCACCAACCTCGAACTAAAAACATCCCACCCAAAGGGGCATTATGGGGGACCCCACTGGGCTCTCCCCAATAGACTTTCTAGTGGACCCCGCCAATTGTCTCTCGGCCCCCAGCGCTACACAGTGCCCACCTGGCTGGTTAATTGTCCTCAGTCTCTTATGTGTTGGGGGCAGCCTGCTCTGGTGGCCCCTGGGCGGCTGGTGGAGAGGGGTCTGGCTTGCTGACTGTGGGGACAAGCCCTTCTTTTGTCCAGGGCTGTACATCCACACCACCGTGCTAGGGACAAAGATCTCTCCCAGGTTGCAAGTATTCTGGGCCTATGTCTGGCAAAGTCCCACATCCATCAGTGCCCCCACCTGGTCCTGCTGGGGGGCATATGAGTACCGGGTCAGCACTCTCCAAGCTGCACAGGTGCTCCCATCTCTTCTCTGCTGGCAGGGGAAATGGCCTGCTGGGCTGCTGCTTGTCATGTGGTGGTGTCCCGGTCTTCAGTGTGCTGGCAAGCTCCTCTTGTATGAGCCCTCGCTGGCTTACCAGGTCTCAGTGCACACCTACTAGGCAAATAGTCACTGTGGTGACTTGTAGCTGGGTACTTCTCCAGCCCCATGGGCTCTGCCCTTTGGTCACCACCATTGTCCCTCAGCATACCAGAGAGATGGTGGACCCTGTGTCCACCAGGGCGCAGCACCATGTGCCATCGAGTTCACAGTCCAGGTATAGTCTGTGTCCAGCCCACGCAGCTGACCCAGGGCTGTGACAGGTCGAGGGTAGATGAAAGGTCTGGGGTTGCTGGCCTTTGTGGTGCCTGAGCTAGGCAACAATGTGTGGTGTGGCCCAGCTCCTCTCAGCGTTTAGCTGCTCTCCCACTTCCTCCTGGTAGTGGGGGTGTGACAGCAACCTGGCAAGCTGCCTCCTCCTTTTCTGGTCTCTGGCTGATAGCACCGCACAGCAGCCATGACCCAGGGCACAGAGCCCTGCCTCAGTGCATAGGCAGTGGTCTCCCTCTGCACCAGGAGCCCAAGGGCTTCACCCAAGGTTCTGAGGTGGGCCAGCTGCACGTGAGGTCTAAACTGGTCATGGACAATGGCCTGAACAAACTGCAGGTGCCATGGAGATGTAGGTGCGCTGGGCCAGGCTCTCGACGTCCTAAGTCTGTGTTGTTCCAAAGCAAACAAAGGGAATAAACATGAGGTTACCAATGAATTTGTGAATGCAGCAGTTTTCTGGGAGAAGTGGAGCATTATCTGACAGAAATGTAGGGGTGCCAATATTTTTGGCCATGACTGTACAATGTGATGTATATGATTTTGTGTCATTTCTATAGAAGGTGAATGTGGAAGACAGTTGGTACATTCAAAATACAACTGATGCATAAAGGACTCTTCACTTGGAACAGTTTCAAAAATGGTAGCTATGATACATTAAGTTAAATTTCTAAATATACAAGCTGCAAAACATATGTTATTGTCTAAAGGTCAGATTTGTTTTTGGATTGGATATCAGACTGGATGCAAATCAGTTAATATTAAACACTGGAGCAAAACATCTACTGGGAGTAAAGGGATACATGAAGGTGACAATGAGCAAAAACAGCCAGTGTTTCCTCCGGCAATGCAATAAATCTTGCTAAAACCCTTTAACTGGAGATTAAGTATATCAAACATTAACAATAGGTAAAATAACTGGTGGCTGAAGGTTGACAGCCGCAGAATAAAAAGCCTTCCAATCATTCTATTACACCATAAAATACATTTGTCATTTTATTCAAAGAGTGATCAGATTGAGTGCAGCAGGATGAGCTAAAGGTTTTCTTTTAAAATGTTTACAATACAATAGATACATTTCTATGGACTCTTCTTTTGGGTGTATGGTTTGACTGGTTCCCTTTTTCAAATTAACATTTTTCTTTTTTCATTTTTTAACATGAATAAACTTGATTAATGCAAAGAGGTATTGCCAAGCCATGAATGTTTTGTTTTCATGTGAAATCTTGCTTCAAAATGTTACACATTACTCTTTGCGATTAAAGCCACAGTCTTATATTCTGAGTCATCCAGAATCTCCATTGGCAGATAATACATAACATAGTTTAAACTTCATTAAAACTCTGTTGATAAAAGTGGTTTAGCACTCTTATTTGTTAAAACTGTTGTGTATATGTTGTGTTTACAGGTGTTCCTGTGTGTAGGGCAAGGCTGTACAGACAATGATGCCATCATCCTCCACTACAACCACATCGCCTTGGCTTTTCTCACAGGCTTTCTGTTTGCCACACATTTACCTGAACGTCTGGCACCCGGCAGCTTCGACTACATAGGTAAGACAGAGCTGGGGAGTAGTGATTGTTGTCGCATGTTAAATGTTGCTTTGGTAAACCCACAAAGAATGATCATCCATCTCTGCAGTTCCCCTTGACTCCATGGAACATTTCAGCGTCCTTTCAGCTCTTTGTTTTGGGTTTTAGTGCTTTGCTTCACCCTCACTGTCTCATCAGCAGCGGGCCACTGTTTGCAGCAGTTAGCTGGTGAACATAGTGGAGCATTTAGGAAATAAAGAGCCCGATATTTCCCTCAAGAGTTGCTGAGAACCAAAATAGAGTTAAACGAAGAGTTCAATACAACTCTAATGTTGCATACAGTATGGGTAAATAAATAATAACCTGTTTGGCAACAAGTTTTCAATGTCAGCTTCACAGGTGAAATGACACTATGTCAGTGTTGTGTTTATAGCTTTTTTCCCCCACTGCCTCTAAGAGGACAAAAATTAGTTAGAGCAGGTTTACGTTAAAAATCTGTAGAATATAAACCTCTGCATTAAGCTCTTCTTTACCATTTAGTCTTGTGGGGTTCTCAACATTTTAACTTAGAATTCATTGGACCAACTTACGTATATACATTATTGAGTGTGCTCCATAATGCTTATATAAAAACCTGTTCTTTCACTTGACAGAAATTTAAAAAGTGGGTGGAGTGGAAACTTTGCCATAGTTTTGCAGCGTATCTACAGCACTGGAATTTTCCTTTTCTGGTTAGCTCACAAATACAGTGTTTTTTATACCTCGTTTTCAAATGCCACATCCAAAAAGAGATTAATTCTCAACCTGCTTCAAACAATGGATTTACATTAACACATTAAATGTGTTAAACATTGAAATAATGCTAATGCATAACCACTGTTACATTTTTTTCATTCTGTTGAAATCAGTAGGAAGTGTTAATTATTTGCTCAGTGGTGAGCAAATGTTCTTCTCTCCACTTTGTTATATCTGAGCTCAAATGTGACTTGACTCCTCCCTCTACAGGCCACAGCCACCAGCTCTTCCATGTATGTAGCATCCTTGGTACCCACTTCCAGCTGAAGGCCGTTGAACAGGATATGGTGACACGACGCCCCTGGCTCCTTGCACACTCCGTTCCCATCACATTTTCAAACTCACTGGGTTTAGCTCTGCTTTGTGTGGTGGTGAATTTGACTATCATCATCCTCTACAGTCTACCTCTCCTATCTGCCCCAGTCGGCCAAAAAAACAAAAAACATGGTAAAGGTCCAAAGAAAACTTCAGGCAAACTTTGCAACCGCTGCTAAATCTTCAGCTTCATAAGTCACAGCTGAGGGATCCTAGCTGGTCACAAGACATACAGATGTGTGAAAACAGTACATTATGGGTGATAATATTAGAAAGAACACTACTGAGCTATGAGGAAGTGAAGTAATGTTTAACCAAACTCATGGTGGTATTTGTCCTTCACACATCACTGTGATGACTGCTGTTACTGTGGACGTGTAAACTGAAAATAAGGGCATCAGTTGCACAAATGTCCAATGTAAATTCAACCTGTTTGTTGCCATAATATGTAATGAATCTAAATGTTTCTGAGGAAACTTCTTCCTACATAAAGCTACTAACGTAGCTGGTTAGCTACATTACTTTATATGTTTAGATTTTTTACTTCAGTTTTCTGATATTCACATTTGTGGTGTATGAAGAGACTATAAGCTGAGGACAACAAAAAACTCTCTTTCACTTTCAGTGTAAAATTATTGCTGCATTGAGACACTTTTTCCCTTTTCATATTTAAAGTGCTTGTGCTTGTTCACAGACAGTTTGATTTTACTGAGTAAAACCAGTGTGACATCACTCATTTAAAACATATAAAGACAAAATAAACAGTTATGATGAGGGAAGAAAACGTTTTCCCCCCAAAACCTAAAACTTCAAAAAATCAGAAGTTTAGTATAATGTAAAATAAATGAGTGTGGTTTTCTTCCCTCGGATAATTGCTGTTTCTGTCCCAGTATACATTGTCCGTGAAAGTATTTATGTACAGTGCTATTTATTATGACTTTTTCAAATAAATTATAAACCAAACCTAAACATGTCATTCTGATTTTAAAGAGGTGTCCTGTTTTTTGTGTCCATCAATTGTCACAAGTTTATTATTCTATTTATTGCCAGTGGTTTAGGAGCACTCAGGGATCACTTGCAGGGGTGAATCATTTTAACATTAACATAACATGTAGTGTTGAAATATGTCATTTTGCACATTTTGGCAAATACAAAATGTGATAAACCTGTGCAATAACCCCTCATTACTCTACTAAGTAGAATACCATATACAATTACACTATGTGCAATATCTGAAACTCCCCATTTTACCTGCTATCTTATTCTTGTATCCACAGTTTTATCAACTATATTGTATTCTTGTTTTTTGTATTATTGGGTGATCTGATCTTTAGACTGGGTGTTTGTTCTTTTGGTTTTAAACTCTTTACTTGGCTCCAGGAGAGCCCTGCACAAGAATTTGTATATGCCTAGACTGTGTGTTTATGCATAAATAGCGAATAAAAATCTTGAATCCTGAATTTTGGGTACATTTTTCTTGAACAGGAAATACATCGTATTTACAATGCTGCTTACAACCCACTTTTGTCCGGATGTCTGCCAGTTTCTCCACAGTCTCATTGCTCTTGCCAAACTTTCCAAAAATAAAAATTAATAAGAGTTTTCAGTTCCACTTTACATATTGGAACTTGTTCAATAACTGTATCAAACTTTAAAGACTGTTTAGCTGCAGCATCAGCCTCCTCATTGCCAGATATTCCTACATGCACTCATAAGAAATTAACTTATATACAGTGCCTTGCGAAAGTATTCGGCCCCCTTGAACTTTGCGACCTTTTGCCACATTTCAGGCTTCAAACATAAAGATATAAAACTGTAATTTTTTGTGAAGAATCAACAACAAGTGGGACACAATCATGAAGTGGAACAAAATTTATTGGATATTTCAAACTTTTTTAACAAATAAAAAAACTGAAAAATTGGGCGTGCAAAATTATTCAGCCCCCTTAAGTTAATACTTTGTAGCACCACCTTTTGCTGCGATTACAGCTGTAAGTCACTTGGGGTATGTCTCTATCAGTTTTGCACATCGAGAGACTGAAATTTTTGCCCATTCCGCCTTGCAAAACAGCTCGAGCTCAGTGAGGTTGGATGGAGAGCGTTTGTGAACAGCAGTTTTCAGTTCTTTCCACAGATTCACGATTGGATTCAGGTCTGGACTTTGACTTGGCCATTCTAACACCTGGATATGTTTATTTGTGAACCATTCCATTGTAGATTTTGCTTTATGTTTTGGATCATTGCCTTGTTGGAAGACAAATCTCCGTCCCAGTCTCAGGTCTGTTGCAGACTCCATCAGGTTTCCTTCCAGAATGGTCCTGTATTTGGCTCCATCCATCTTCCCATCAAGTTTAACCATCTTCCCTGTCCCTGCTGAAGAAAAGCAGGCCCAAACCATGATGCTGCCACCACCATGTTTGACAGTGGGGATGGTGTGTTCAGGGTGATGAGCTGTGTTGCTTTTACGCCAAACATAACGTTTTGCATTGTTGCCAAAAAGTTCGATTTTGGTTTCATCTGACCAGAGCACCTTCTTCCACATGTTTGGTGTGTCTCCCAGGTGGCTTGTGGCAAACTTTAAACGACACTTTTTATGGATATCTTTAAGAAATGGCTTTCTTCTTGCCACTCTTCCATAAAGGCCAGATTTGTGCAGTATACGACTGATTGTTGTCCTATGGACAGAGTCTCCCACCTCAGCTGTAGATCTCTGCAGTTCATCCAGAGTGATCATGGGCCTCTTGGCTGCATCTCTGATCAGTCTTCTCCTTGTATGAGCTGAAAGTTTAGAGGGACAGCCAGGTCTTGGTAGATTTGCAGTGGTCTGATACTCCTTCCATTTCAATATTATCACTTGCACAGTGCTCCTTGAGATGTTTAAAGCTTGGGAAATCTTTTTGTATCCAAATCCGGCTTTAAACTTCTCCACAACAGTATCTCGGACCTGCCTGATGTGTTCCTTGTTCTTCATGATGCTCTCTGCACTTTAAACGGACCTCTGAGACTATCACAGTGCAGGTGCATTTATACGGAGACTTGATTACACACAGGTGGATTCTATTTATCATCATTAGTCATTTAGGTCAACATTGGATCATTCAGAGATCCTCACTGAACTTCTGGAGAGAGTTTGCTGCACTGAAAGTAAAGGGGCTGAATAATTTTGCACGCCCAATTTTTCAGTTTTTTATTTGTTAAAAAAGTTTGAAATATCCAATAAATTTCATTCCACTTCATGATTGTGTCCCACTTGTTGTTGATTCTTCACAAAAAATTACAGTTTTATATCTTTATGTTTGAAGCCTGAAATGTAACAAAAGGTCACAAAGTTCAAGGGGGCCGAATACTTTCGCAAGGCACTGTACCTTTTTCTATACCAGTTGGGTGCGTCGGACGTCATGCGAATCAGCTGATTGGTTCGGTTTGTCATGGGAATCAAGTGTGTTCAGAGATAGGATATCCCTATTTAGTGGCGTTCATTTGAATCAGTCTTTGCAGAGCAGGTTGGTTTGTTGCTATAGTTGCGTTAGTTGCTTTGAGAGTTAATGTAGTAGATTGTGTATTTAGTGGAGAATCAGTGTAGATAAAGAAATAGATCAATAGATAGATAGTAAGTTACACAGCGAAATAGATAAAACAGTTACATAGTTAAATAACACTAGATATACAGTATATAGTTACATAGATAGTCCTAAATAATGTTATATATATATATCTATCTCTATATATAGATATTATTATATATGGATAAATATATAGATATATTGCATCATTGTAAATGAGCACAACTTCAGCTGTGTTCATTTGAATACACTGTTAGAGCGAAAACAACTTTAATATGGTTGAAGAAATCAACATATATATTTCAGAATTGTGATCATGTAATTTGCCAGTCCAGTCATCTTTTATTTCATTCAGTAACTGAAGCATGGTTTGACCTGAAACCCTGTAAAAGTCCCTCACATTCTCCTCTGGCGAGTAATGCGATTTACAAATGCCCTATTCCTCCTCCATTGTGTTTTTAACAACAGCGGGGTCCCCAATGACTAACATGATGTTAAATTTCAGCCAGCAGTGGTAAATCAGGTGCTGAGAGTATTTGTATAAATTTTCATTCTCTTCTCTCTTATATTTGTCTCCCTAAATGGGAATGCCTTAAAATATATAACCCAACACGCAAATTCCTGCTTTCTTCTTTTTCCCTGGTGCAAAACCCCACTGCCTCTCCTTAGTAAATATGAACACACACACACACAATATAACTGTTTAGCCAAAAATAAACTGTAAAACCTTAGTAAATATCCACTATAGGTTCTAGCAAACAGAGTTGACACCAGAAATTATGGCTAGAACATGGGAGTGTAAATATTGTATATGATCTATTCTTCTGTTTTTGAGAGTTGTTAAGAGTCCTCTTGCTGCCTTTTGAATGAGCTGACAGGAAACTTTATGGCTAAGGCAGTAAAAAATGGAATTACAGTTATGATTGTATAAAGAAATCAAAGCATTAATAACTTCACCAAAATTTGGCAAAAATAAAGAAATTTATCTGACATAATTATCACTTGTTAAAAAAGGAGCAAACAATCTTTAGTACTCAGCCCTTAAACCTCAAATTGCAGTTACATACTGTATAATAGTAGCCTGTTTGTTTTAACACTTATAAAATTTCTTGATGTCAGCCAGATAATTCTACAGAAAGGCAAGAATAGTTACATTAACTTTAAGGGTCAACAAGTTTATACGTTGTAACTGGTTATAATCTGCAAAACAACAAAAGATTCCATTATGATGCCAAGTGGAAGAAGCATTAGATACAAAATTCAGAAAATCTTGAACTTCATGTTCAGTCTTAACAGTGCCATAGCCACGTACCTGTGTGCTCACTGTGTGAAATTAGTTTTAGATTGCACTGTTTCTGTTTATATCTTCTGCTTGTATAGTGGGGCTAGTGAGCATTCGTGCATTTCTACCTGTGTCCTGCAAACACTGTCTGCTCAAACAGAGGAGTTATTCCTTTACACTTTATTCATATTACTTTTATAATCTCTCTTTGTGTATTTTATTTGGCTCCGCTTTGTAGTGTGTAAAGTCTGCAGGCTAGTGGCACCAACATATTCTGAAATGGTTGGTGATGTCCTGAGAATAGATGTGGTCTTTGGGGGCTCTTGTCACCATTACTTAATTCACAAATAAATACCAAGATTGTA